TTCTCTGGACTGATCAAGCCCTAAGTGGCTGCCAGCAGCCACTGCGTGCTCCCAGCACATTCTTCTCTGCTTGCTCCTCTCTCCACTCCCCTCCCTCCTCCAATCTTCTGATTTGGAAGGACAGTTGTAGGCAGTCAACTGCACCCCCTTCCCTTGCATCCAGCTTCCAAAATCCTGAGGAAGCCCAGCTGGTGGAAGGATGGAGAGGGAACCCAACCAAACATCCTTCTTTCTCCATCTTCCCAAAGCTCTCCTCAGCACCACTATTGAACCCCTGTTCTGTATAAGAAACCCACAATGACAGTCCTGGCAGAGGGAAGGGCTGGCATTTAAAGTTCATTCAGTCATTTCATTAACATATTTATTGAGCACCTGCTATGTACCAGGCGCTGGGGAGACAGTGAACAAATGAGATAACGTCTTTGCTCTCACAGAGGCACTGACTATAGAAAACAGGAGGCCCTCCTTGGGGGCCTTTGTGTGTTTCTGCCTCGGTTGGTTGGTGGTGAACAGTTGTCCGTGGTCCCACCGCTTGAGACTGAGGAACAGAGGGAGGATTCAGTGCCGCTCACTGAACGTGTGTTTCTTATGGAGCCCGTTCTTGGCTGGGCCTCGTCCTCCACCTGTCCCAGAGCCTCTGGGCTTTTCTCCTGGGCAGCTGTCCCTCCCGGCCCCCTCCCTTCCACGGTGCCTTCCTTCCTCTCTTCCCTACCTTTGGGCACTGGCCACGGTTCTCAGTCCTGGAGGCCATCAGCAGCCCTGGAAAACCCTTCACAAGGCACCAGCCCCATCGGGATGGTCAGAGTCTGCAGGTGTGGGGGTGGGCTCCTGGCCTTTGGATATTTCTGAGCTCTCCAGGTCTTTCTGAGGCAATTCCAGGTTGAGATCTTGGCTCCAAGGGCTTACAGGGAAGGCCCAGCTTTGACCTGGAGCTCTGACCATAGCGGGGTGGGCCTTGGGGTTTCTGCAGAAGACTGTTGCTCCTCAGTCTTCTGAGCCCAGCAGATCCAGAGGTGGACGCTCAGTTGTGGGGCTGATATCCACTGAGAGGGAGGGCGGTGAGAGGTGGGGACCTTCTGCCTCCTTCCCAGGCTACTCTCAGGTCTTTTGTCCCCCAAAGTCTACAGAGGGTGCCTGAGGCGGAGCCAAATTCTCTGAGGTCAAGGAGGAGAAGATGGAGGAGAAAAGGAATGGGGCAGCTCTATCTTCTTTCTCTTTCTCTCTCAAATCCTGCTCATCTTTCAAAGAACAGTTCAAATTTCACCTCCCCCAGGAAGCCTTCCCTGATTGCTCACATGAAAACCAACCAAACCTCATAGGACTTCCTTTGGATTTACTCTGTACACTTGACTCATCAAACTTAGATTTGAAAATGACCTTGAAGTTGGCCCACTCTCCTCTACTTCAGGCAGGCCCACGTGTATATCTCATACATGTGCACACCTTGCCCTGAGGCTGGAGCCCCAAATACCTGGGGCCACCGCTGGTATCGGAGTGCAGTTCCTTTGGTCACATCATTCCTAAGGGAGTGGGGCAGGGCCTGGAGCTCCTGGAGGCCTGGGAACATGGCTCTCTCTGGGCCCCTCTGACCCCAGCCCAGTGCCAGGGCTCTGGCTGCTAAAGACTTGTACCTGGGCAGCCCAGTGAAGCCTTGCCCCATCCGTCCCTCAGAGGGACTGGCCGTTTCAACCAGGAAACCGGCTGCACGATTTTGGGCCAACAGCCTTCTTGCAGGGCCCAGACTGCAAAGGCTTGTGGGGATTTTTCCCCCTACATGTCATACAAGAAAAACCACATCAAAAAACAGGTAAAGCTTCTGATTTTCCCCTTCTCAATTTTTAAATATCACATTCTAAAATGTTTTTTCTCTCCCTTTTTTTTTGGGCATCCTGCTTTGTGGGTGACCTCAGCAGCAGTTGTGACTCTGGGTATCGGGAAAGCCAGCTTTGCATGTCCGTGCGTGTGTGTATAGGTTTCCATGCATGGGTTATATATGTATGTAGCAAGCATACGTGAGCGCATGTGCACGCACACACCCACATCGTATCAGCTAGCGGTTCTCAGCCATGGCTGCACGCTGGAAACACATAGGGAGTACCAAACTCCCAGCACTCAGGCTGCTCCCCAGTTACGATAAATCAGAGCCACTGGGGTGGGACCCAGGTTTCAGTAGTTTGCAAATCTCCCCAGGTGATCCCAATGTGCCCTCATGGCTGAGCAGCACTGACACAGATGGCAGCTGGCCTGATGGAGTTCCTCTGTTGAGCAGTTATCGTGAGTGGGCGTGCAGACTCTGACATTGCTAAGGGACTGCACCTGGAGAGACGCAGGCGGCGAAGGCTTGCCCTGGATGCGGCGTTCTCACCTGCAGCATGAGACCGTTGGACGAGACCATCCCTGGAGTGCCACCCAATTCTTAGCAAATGCTTTGACTGCAAGGGGTGTGTCCAGGAAGGAGAGGAAGACATACGTTCTCCGGGGAAGGGCCGGGCCCCCTCTCTAGAGGCTGACGTGTCCTGCAGTCCTGGGCATCCATAGCACCACAGCCGCTTCTCCTTCTGTGGCAGGCATGAGCCACGGGGACTCCTGCCTACCTCCCGCAGGAGCGGACAGCAGCCGGGTGGAGATGCTGGGGAGCCGCGGTTAGGGAGGGCGGAGGGAGTGTGGTTCGGAGGGGGTCTGCAGTCTTGCAGCCAGCTCAGGAGTCTGAGGTCCAAAGATAGCAAGTGGTAGAAGGAGTAGCCTAGACTGGGTGCGGGAGGCATGGGGAGATGAGAGAGAAGGGCCAGCTGGCAAGCTGACGCTCGGGCCGTGAAAAGTTCACTTGTTAATTACCGACATTTTCTAAACTTTAATTACAAAACTAAGATATTCTTATCATAAAAATTTGGGCAATATTGAAGCATACAGATAAAAACAATGGAATGTCTTCCTCTCCTCCCATTTCCTCCTTAATTCTACTTCCCACTATCATCATTTTGCTGTACAGTCCTGTACCACATAACAACGTTCTGGCCAACAACGGACTGCACGCAGGGTGGGGGTCCTATAAGATTAGCACCATGCAGCCTAGGTGTGTGGTAGGCTGTACCACCTAGGTTTGTGGAAATGATGCGGGGTCGGTGAGCCGAGGAGTCGATGGAAAGATTTCTTGGACTCTCAAGGTCTGGCGGTAGTGCTCTTTTATTCAGAGAATAGTGTGGAATAGCGTGGGGACAGGACCCATGGGCAGTCAGGCTGCTGCGTGGGGACAGGACCCATGGGCAGTCAGGCTGCTGCGTGGGGACAGGACCCATGGGCAGTCAGGCTGCTGCGTGGGGACAGGACCCATGGGCAGTCAGGCTGCTGCGTGGGGACAGGACCCATGGGCAGTCAGGCTGCTGCGTGGGGACAGGGCCCGCGGGCAGTCAGGCTGCTGCGTGGGGACAGGACCCATGGGCAGTCAGGCTGCTGCGTGGGGACAGGACCCATGGGCAGTCAGGCTGCTGCGTGGGGACAGGGCCCACGGGCAGGAGGAGCTGCTGCCGCCGCGGCTTCTGCTGCCAACATGGGTGGAGAGTAAGGCTAATTTTAAGGCATAGGTATGTGAGCCATCTCTTTACAAGACAAAGGAAAGAACATGTAAAAAAGTTAAAATGGTATCAGTGCAGGTGGGGTCTGGCCATGGGGTGGTCCCACAACTTTTACATAAGAATCAAATCGGATTAAGTAAAGGCCAGAAGCCACCAGCCTAAATCAGTTACATGAGGTTGCCAGACAGTAACCAACTTAAGTTCTTGCCTTTGGCATTGATTAAGAGTTTCTAGAGACAAGGTCATCTCCCTTCCTCCTGGCACAGAGAGGGAGGCATCCCCACAGATGGGGGTTTCCCCCGCAAATGTAAATGCCTCCCAACAAAGGGCAAGCAAACTCTGCTCCTCGGAGCCTGCTTCTCAGCTGCAGTTTTAAAAGTAACCAGCCTAAAAATCCTCATCATAAGTACACTCTGACGTTTGCACAATGACGAAATCGCCTGACACATTTCTCAGAACATATCCCCATGTTAAGTGACACACAACTTTCAGATCATTTTCTATACATGTTTTCTATACACATTGTTTTTTTTTTTAAAAAAAGGGTTATAGTCTACATATTATTTTGCAACTTGTTTTTTAAACAGTACGCCACGAACAACCTCTGTTCTCCTTTAGTCCTTTTGACAGCTGCGTAGTATTCCACAGCCTATCCCAGCCATGTGCATGCTGCAGTCAGCACACTTGCTCAAGCATTTCTGCAGGACACTGTCCTAAAAGTGGGATGGGTAGCTCTAAGAGTATGTGCCTTCCTAAATGGGAGGGATTTTATCCAATTGCCCCACCACCCCCAAGCGCTGCAGTCCCACCAGAGCACACTCTTGCTCGTAACCTCATCGGCACTTGGTATTATTGACCCTTTACGCATTTCCCAATGTAAATGGGGCCTGTGAACAGAGCTTGAACAAAATGCAGTCTGTGGGGCCCCCAGGAGCCTCCAGTTTCCTGTTTTCCAGATGAGAGAAAGTGGGGAGGCAGAGAGGAGTGGTCTCTGTCAGCAACGTGCAAGGAGAAAGACAGAGACACAGGCTGGGGCTGCCGCCCTTGCAGTGGTCGTGGGAAGGGGCTCAGTGACAAGAAGGGCAGGAAGGGGCTTTGCCATGCCAGTGCAGTGCCTGGGACCCAGCAGCCCCACCTAGGAAGCCAGAAGGGCTGGATAATGCCATGGGTAAGGCCTTAAACTGCCTCAGCTCAAATCCCAGCCCCACCGCTCACTAGCTGCTGATTTCCGAGCTGGTGACGGGGCCCCTCTCAGCCTCCATTTCCTTGTCTGTTAAATCGAGGTGATGGAGCTGATCTTCCTCAGCTCCTTGGGGAAGGATGAAATGCACGGGTACTTGTAAAGGTGAGAACAGCGCCTTGCAATAAATGTTAGTGGAGTGAGTTTCCAGTTGGTAAACCATCCCCCGCTGTGCACACACACCCCTCCCCCCCCCAGTTCCTTTCCCTTGGGGTAACTGCTATTAACAGTCATTCCAGACCTTCTGTGTGCATGTGACAGTTAGAAATATTCCCGGGCACATACTCTATCATTTAGGAGTCATCTTCTTTTCAAATTTTTTCAGCCAACATGTTTTGAACTGATATCACATACACATAGCTTAAAACTCGAAAAGGAAAAAAGGGATGCAGTGAAAAATAAGCCTCCTTCTCGCCTCAGTTTCCTTGCTAGTCAGGGCCCCACTGTTATCAATTTCTTGAGTATCTTTCAAGAGATATTTCAAGCATCTTTAGAAACATGTAAGTTTATACAGTATTTTGTCCTCACACAAACAGAAGCATACTTTCCCTAATCCTCTGCGTTTCTTATTTTCACTTAACGATATGTCTTGGCCAGATCTTTTCATATCACTACATCTAGTGTGTTTTTAAAAAAATTTTGGCTACATTGTATTTCATGGTTAGAAGTACCATCATCGCTTCCTTAACTAATCTTTTTTTAAGGAAACTTAGATTTTGTAATATTTTGCTTATAAATAAAGCTATGATAAAGACCCTTTTAAGGAATCTTCTTTTTAAAGCGAAAGAAAACCTAGCTAAAACGGACTTAAACCAACAAACAACATGGAGTTTGAAGCTCAGTAACAGCACGAGTCTAGATACAATGCCGACTTCAGTTAAGACTTGTTCCAGCTACTCAGTGTCCCCTCAGACCTGGCTCTCTCTCTTTTCTGTCTTTTTGGTTTTTTTAGAGGAAGATTAGCCCTGAGCTAACATCTGCCACAAATCCTCCTCTTTTTGCTGAGGAAGACTGGCCCTGCACTAACATCCGTGCCCATCTTCCTCTACTGTATATGTGGGACGCCTGCCGCAGCATGGCTTGCCAAGTGGTGCAAAGGTCCGCATCTGGGATCTGAATGGGTGAACCTCGGGCCACTGAAGCGGAAAGTGCGAACTTAACCACTGTGCCACCAGGCTGGCCCCTCTTTTCTGTCTTTTGATGTCTATTGCCTTTCTTGATAGACTCCCTTCAGTGTTTGCTCCCCTCCCCCCCTCGGCAGCGCTGGAGTCTTCTCTCCTGGAAAAAGGCTACCACAGTTCTGGACCTCCATCCACAGACCACACCGTCCAAGGTAAGGGCAAATGCGTCACTGGCAGCTTCTCCAGGAGAGGGAGGAAGTGACTTGTTCCTGGAAACCCAGCAAACCCCAGTATCTTCTACACTCTCCTGCCGCTTGCCTTTTTCATGTTAATGTTGTCTCAGGACGTCGTTCCAGGTCAGTGTACATACATCTATTTCGTTCTTTTTTTAATGACTTCACGTCCTTAGTTGTACAGAGTTAGTGTGGCTCACTCTCTCTTTGATGGACATTTAGGTGTTTCCATTAAAAGAAACAACCTATGAATAATGTTGAAATGAACATCTGTATTAGTTAGGACACAGTTCAGTTGCTTCAACAAAGACCCACAATAACAGGCGCTTCAATCAGATGGAGGTTATCACTCAGGTTGCGGTAGGTGTGTAAGCTGTTTGAGGTTGACAGGGAAGCTCTGCTTTGTCAGGAATGCAGATTCCTTTTATCTTGTTGCCCTTGTCTACATGGTTGAAGATGACTCAACCCCATATCCTCTGGGTCCACATTCCAGCCATTGGAACGGGGAGAGGGAACACAGAATGCTCCTTACCTCGAAGCGCGTGACCCAGGAGTTGCACATCACTTTTGCTCACACCCACTGGCCAGAACTTGGTCACGTGGCCACACCTACCTACGAGAGAGGCTGGAAAAGGTAATCTTGATACTGAGCAGAAGGTGCCCCACTAAAAGTTGGGGGTTCTGTTGCCAAAAGAAGAAGGGGAGAAAATATATTACGGGATAATTAGCTATCTCTGATGCAGCATCCTTAAACATTTATCTGTAAACAGCCCTATGTTTTTGTAGGATAGAATTCTTTTGGATACTTTCCAAAACATTCCTAGTGATACACGATCCCACTGACAGCTCTTGGATTGTTGCTTTCCCACACTCTGTCACCACCGCCGCTGTCATCGCAACCACAACTACGTGCTTACCCTGGACCATTGCTGGCCATGCCCGTTGCATCGAATCGTTCATCTGCCAGTCATTAGCTCCGTGGCCTTGGCTGTCCTCAGTTTGTTTATCTGTAAAATGAGCACCTTGAACTCTACTCTAGGTCTTAAAGAATCTCAGGTTCTCTTCCAGTCTTAGAGTTAGTTCTATGATTGTGGGTAGGGTAGCCATGGGAGAGGCAGCCTGAGCAGAAAATGGCATCTAGAAAGAGGGAGGTGATAGTCTCAAGTTGCATGCTGGCTGAACACACCAGGTGGGCAGTGTTCAGATCTGGGCACGTCCCTAAGGGCCGACAAACTGGGCCGCGGTCAGAGGAGAGTCACGGCGGCAGAAATGGGCCTGAGAATGGAGGAAGAAGGATGGAAAGAAATGGGAGGGTTTAATGTGGGAAGAGGAGACTGAGCGAGGCAGGAGGGAGGCACGAGTGCTCTTGTAAGCGCCTCCTGGTCTGGCTCTTGAGTGGGAGGGGGAGGGACAGTCATGTTCCGTGTGGTCTCCAGAAATAGCCCCAGAACAGTGAGTGGAATCTACAGGGTCACAGGTTTGGGCGCAAAATAAGAAATAATCTCTTAAGAAATGTAAATAACACTTTACTGAGAGGTGAAGAGGAGGTTTGGGGCCCACGAGACCCTGTGAGCTGGCCTGGCCTCAGGCCGCTCCTCTCTCGCCCGCTACTCCCCAGGCTCAAAACCAGACTGCTTTTTGTCGCTCTCCCTCAGCCACCACCACCGAAACTGCTCTCACTATCACTCTCAAACATCCTCAGTCTTCTAGAAGCTTCTCTGGCCTCATCTTACCTGCCCTCTCAGCAGCACGCCACAGTCACACCGTTGACCACATCCTCCTCCTTGAAGCATCGGTTTCCTCCAACCCACCCTCTGAGTGGTCCTCCCCCCTCTCCTGCTGCCCCTTCTCTGGTCCTTTGCTGGTGTCATCCTCTGCCAGTGGCTTCTCTACTGCAGGCCGTCACATGCTCACATCTTCTCACTCTGCACCTCACCCTGCCTTCTGTTACCTCTGCGTGCAGGTGGTGACTAGTCTAGAACTCTGCCCCAAGCCCCGGTTCAGGGGCCCAGAGCACCGTAACCAATGGCCTGGTGTCCTGCAGGCACCTAGAATTCCCCCTTGTCATCCCTGCTCCCCACTCTGCACCTCCAACCTCTTCCTCCTGCACAGAGAAGAACAGAGAGGACCACCATTCGTGCAGAAACTGTGGGTCATCCTTCCAGCCTGCTTCCTTTCCCTAACCTCCACATCTCATCGACCCTGCATCTTAAATATGGCACATGTCCATCCACTTCTTCTCATTGCCACTAGCACCTCCTGCCTGATCTCCCACGTCCGGCCTTGCCCTCCAGCTCCATTTTCTGTGCTTGTCACTCTGAGTTAAGACCCATCAATGGCACCCCATCACCCTCAGGACAGAATCCAAATGGCTTAGCAGGCTTTCAAGGTCCTTTTGGATCTGGCCTCTTCCTGCCTTTGGGGACCCCTGCTCCTTGCACCACCCCCTACTCTGTGGGCTCCCGTCAGCCTCGCCAAAGATGGCACCACTCACAGGCTGTTCCCTTGGCCTAAAAAGACTATTTCCTTTCTTATCCTAGCTAATGGCCAACTCCCAGTCATCCCTCAGGCCTCCGTGGAGTCTCTTCTCCCTGCAAGGAGCTCTCCCCGGCTGCCCGGGGCTGGCTTAGCTGCCCCTCTCCATGTGCCTCTCCAGCACCATGCATCAAGCTGTGAAGACTTTGTCCACCGTTTTTAATCGCTTGACTGCCTCTCTGTGTATCACCCAGGCTTCTAGAAGCTGCAATGTGTCAGAACCTTGCTTCCCTTGCTATCACTGCATGCTTGAAACCTGGAACAGAATGTGTTGCATAAATATGTTGACTGTCACTGGATCAAGACCTGACTAATTGGGTGCGGCCCAGGGCTTCAGCAATGCCCGCACCTTGAGGAAGGGCAAGGGCTCTGAGCTTCAGGGTAAGAAGCTGACAGAAGTGAGAGCAACTAGAAAGTGAAAGTAAAGCTGGGGGGGGGGGGGGGGCAGGAAAGAACCCCAGAGGGTGCAGTCTGGGGAGGAGAGGCCGGGCCAAGAGTTCATTCAACCCGGTCTAGCAAGGGAGCTGGCGGCTGGTGCAGGACGTTAGGGTAGGCGGGGAGCTGTGGGCAGGGAGAGCGAATGAAAAAGAGAGAAAATGTGTTTTGTAATTAGTCATTGCCCCCTGGGGTGAGGCTGGGAGTTTTCACCGGAGGTGGGTAGACCAGATTTGCAAAATGACAAACAGGGGCTAACCACCGGCTGGGGCCACAGTGGGGCTTCCGGCCCTGGTGGTAGAAGCTGAGCTTTCTAGTTTTTTCTCTGTCCCGCCCCACTGCATTCAAGATTCTGCCAAATAGTGGAAATGGGAGGGGAAGGCCTCTGAGGAAGGCCTTCCCCAGGGGCCAAAGCTGCTTTTCCTGACTTCTCAGCTGGCTTCTGCCTCTCCCTGTGTTCTTAGCATGGGGAATGGGGACACGGTGGCGCTTGCCCCTTGGAAGGCTCAGCAAATGATCTTCTCTCCAAAATTTTGACGGATTTGCCCCGTGGAGGTTTTTGGGAAACATGAAAACATTGCAGAGATGGGGATCTGGACAGAAGCCACCATCCCTCCCCTCCTGCTAAAGAAAGTCGCAAAGGGATTGGAGACATTTCCGTGTCAAGGGGATGCCTCATTCCGCACTCAGGAAAGTGGACATCAACTGTTTCCCCACAGACACTCCTGGAGATACTGGAATCATGTTAGTACAACGAGACCCCTGCCCCACATATACACTTTGGGCTCCACTCCTTTGTTTTCTAGAGCAGTGGCTTTCAAACTTTTAAAACCACGACCCATCTCAACCCATTACTCAGACGAGCGTTTACATACATACACTGAAACAAAAGCTTTACAACACTCTATGTTCTTTTTTACCGTATATAACCTATGCTTATATTTTCATTCCATTTCTTTTTTAAAAAAAATTCTGGGCACATCCACTAAATTGATTTCATGACCCACTAATGGGTCTCACCCATAATTGGAAAGAACACTGCCCTGGGGGAGTTGATTCTTCACTGCTGGGTCTTCAACTCCTGACAGCTGGAATTTGGCCCCAATTTTCCTGATGAGTTCCTCCCTCTACGTTGTCCCTACTAATGTGCCATACACCAGACCTATAGTCCTAAACGTCACCATCATCATCAGGTTAACACATCTGTTCCGATCCGACTTCCTCTGATCCCCCTGGACCCTCGGGGATCTCCAGGACAGGTACAAGGACCCTCTTACTGGCAGACTGTCTGAGAGAAAGACAACATCCCAGGAGGCCCATATCCGGTGGCTGCTTGGACTTTGGGAATACCACAAGAATCAAATACTTAACTGAAGCAACTTAAACAATAAGGGGTTAATAAAATCACACAGCAGGAAGCCCAGAGCTAGGCGGGTTCCGGAGTTGGTTAATTAAATGATCACATGGCCTTCTGTTTATTTCCCGGTTGCCATCCGCCAACCTTTGGAAATGTCTTTCTCTACCTTAGTCTCAGTGTGACAAGAGCGCTATGTGGAGGGGCTCTGTGGGTAGCAGGAGAAGGGAAGGGTGGGGCCCACGTTTCAGCTGGCTGGGTAAGTGAGTGAGTCACTGGGTGGCTGGGCCCCTTCAGCCCCATGTAAGGACAGGCTGCAGCCGCCCACTGCCCGCCCGTATTGCGTCTGGACAGAAATGGGCATGTCTGCTTTGCAGTGGGCCCCACCTCATGCTCGGATAACCCTGTGAATCAGGAAGGCCAGAGATGCTTATCATCCCTTCTCTCCCCAAGAGTCACAGGCCCCAAAACGGGAAATGACTTCTGGCCTCACCTACAGATCCAGGCCCCGGCTGAGCAGAGAAGCCAGCGTCCTGTCTCCAGCTTGGTCCTGGATTCCCTGGAGCTGGAAGGGCCAATCAGGAGTGAAAGAAGCTCTCCAGTTCCGCCTTGTACTTTGGGCTTTTTCTGGGTCCCATCTCCAGACACCCAGACCCCTCCTGCTGGTTCCTTCTGCCCACACTGCCCCGTTGTCTGCTGTTTTCCCAGGGAGAGCTGGGAGGCAGGGCTGGGGCAGGTGCAGCAGTGGTGGAGTCCCCCCCCCCACCCCACCCCCCGGTGTCTAGGTCTTTGGTAGCATCTGATACCCTAGACCTGGCCATGATGGACGTCTTGTAGCATCTGGGACTGTGTGTGAGCTGGAAGGAACCTGGAAGCAACCTCTGTTTCATGGATGTGGACACTCAGGCCCAGAGACGGGTAGTGACTTGCCCAAGTCCACATAGCTAGTTAGCAGCAGAGGGGTCTCCTGCCCTCCAAACCCACTCTGGCTGGTTCCACCCCCTACCCTGTGAACCCCGGACCAGGCCTAGGCAGCAATGCTGCAGTGTGGCACTGCCGGCCCCAGGCTCCCTGCCAGTGGGGGAAGTGCCCTGTGTCCCCACCCCAAGCTGGTCTGCCTGTCTCCTGCTAGACATAGCAAAAGGATGGAGTGGGTATCCACACCGCGGGCCCTAAGATGATAAATACTAACCCTTCGGAAGGAAGTCTTCCCTTCAGCAAAGGGGAGCAGGGCTTGGCTGGCCCTGGGAAGAATTTGCTACAGGAGCTGGTGCTAGGGAGGGTGTCTTGCTGGTGTGTATGGGAGCTCTGCCTGTGACAGGGAGGGAGGGCCCCCTGGGGTATGTGCTGGTGCATGTGTGCGTGTGCAGGAAGAGGATGGGTGGTGTAGACATCCAGGGAGTACTGGACTAAGAGTTGGAATACAGGGTTCTCTCTGCCTGTGTCAGCCCTGTGACCTTGGAACTTAACCTCCCAGAGCCTCAGTTTTCCCAGTTACAAAATGGGGATGCTAAGAATCTCCTTCACAGGGTTGTTTAGAAAATCCAAACTAATATGTGTGAGTGTCTCCCAGGATAAAGCAGGAGGGCTGCTCTGGGGTGGGGGAGGGAGGAGGTGTGCTGTCACTGGGAGTGTCAGCAGCGCGGGGTCTGGCAAAGGGCAGGGCTGGCAGAGCGGCTCTGAGCCCCTTGCCTACGACTTCCTTCCTTGTTTCCTTGGCTGCCCAAGGCGGCACTGAATCAGGTCACCACTTGTGTTCCCTTGCAGTAGCTGTCATGCAAACAGCTCCTGCCCGGCTCCCAATCCAGGTCACTGGCTCCCACACCCCCTCCCCTGCCGCCAAGGAGAAGGCCTTGCAGTGCTTTTGCCTTGAGTGCTGTTCCTTAGCCCCTGGCCGCATGCCTGACACTGCGCCGACCGCTTTAAGGAGAAATAACAGGCCGCCTTCGCAGCGTGCAACAGGCAGCCTGCCTCACGAGGTTCTCTCTGTCAGGGAGACACGGTCACTCCCACTTTATAAGTGAGGAAACTGAGGCTCAGAAGAGGCAGGTGTCCTCAATCAAGGTCACTCAGCTGTAGTGCAGAGCCAAGGTGGTGAGCTAGATCTGTCTGATTCCAGAGCCCGTGCTCTCATCCCCGAGGCCCTGGGTTTAGAGGACAGACGGCGTGGGTGGGAGCTGGGGCTACCAGGGGAGGGAAGGTGAGGGGGAGGGGAGGGGCTGCGACTGTGGGAGAGAGGAGGGGAAAGGCCTGCAGTGTGATGGGGAAGCACACACATACACACACAACACATACACAGATAGACAACACACATAGATATACAACACGTAGGCACACACACACAGATAGAACACAGACACATACAACACACACACAGCATGCACAGAGATATACAACACAAACACAGACAACACACAGATACGCAACACGCACACAGAGATACACAACACATGGATACACAACACACACACAGGGAAAGACAACACACACAGATGTACAACACACACACATAGATAACATTCACACATATATCCAATACCTAGACAAACACACACACAGATAGACAACACCCAGACACACACAGATATACAACACACACGACACAGGCTGACACTGACAGACATATACAGACCCACAGGACAGGTAGACACATAAAAGACACAAACACACAAACTCAGCCACACACGAAAGACATACACAGACCCAGTGACACTCAGACTCATATGCACAGACACTCACACGACAGCACTCACTCAGGCACGAACACACACTCAGACACAGAGACACAGATAGATCCCCTCGCCCGCAGACACCCACACAAACATCCTGGAGGGAAGGCAAGGGGAAGCCACGGCTGCCTCATTTCCCGGCCTCCTACTCTGAGGCGGAGGGAAAAGCCTTCCCCAGAAGTGCTGAGTCAGCAGTGGGTGACAAATGAGCCTCCGGGGCGGCCAGCTCAGGCACGAGCACTTAGCATGCGGAGGGCGTCCCTGCCAGCGCCAGCCCGGCCGCCGGCGAGGGGGCGGGGAGCTGCCAAAGCTGCCCGCTCAGGGGGAGGCCCTGGGGAGGAAGTGACTCACTTTGACTTTGCAAACGCTGGACTTTGTGGCCCAAGGTCACGCAGCAGCCACTGCCAGCCAGCTTCCTGCAGGGAGGAGGGTGGGCTCGGCTGTGCTGGGCTAGCGGGCCAGGCCTGGGAGGGGCTGGATGCAGGTGGGACAGAGGCAGGGGGCTGGCCCATCCCACTGTGTCTGGGCTCTGAAAACAGACAGTGGGAACGTGAGCTCTGAGGGTCGTCTCAGAAATGCCCGGGCTGGCTGAGTCCAGGTGGGCGGGTGGGGTGATCCTTGAGGTCCTTCATAAACCCTCTCCTCCACTCTTTAACTCCTCCACTGGAATCTAGGGAAAGGGGACATCACAGCACGCCTGGGTGGCCGCAGCCCCCTGGCTGGGCTCTGCTGCCCTCCTGTCCCTCTCAGTTATTCTTCAGGAAGCAGCCAGCGAGATCCTTTCAAGACATCAATCACCATTTCCTCTAATGGCTTCCCGCAGCACTTAGAATAAATTCAGTGCCTTATTGTGTGTCATATCTTCCAAATGGGCCGCTCTTGACCGTGAAAGGAGGAACTATACAAGAATGACACCAGGACAACATGCGTGAGCTGGGGCTGTCCCGGGCACACGGCCCTACTTTGGGCTTGTCCCCACCCCCATCTTTGCATGGCTGCCCTAATATCAGTGTAAATGTCACCTCCTCCGAGAGGGCGTCCCTGAGACCATTCTGCTGCCAGCCATTCTCCATGCAGTTGCTGTGCTTTCATTCCTTCTTGGCATTTACCGCTATCTGGGTTTATCTTTTATATCTGTTTAATTCTTTTTTGTCTGTCCACCCCCTTCCCTCCTTCTTGACAGCAAAGATGTCCTCTGTTGTGTGTGACCCTGCTGTGTCCCCAGTACCTAGGATAGCATCTGAGACCTAGAGGTGCTCAGTTAATGTGTGGGTGCACGAACCAGGGGCAGGCCTGGGGGGGAACACACGGCTTCAAAAACACCTCTCCTCGGGGAGACAGGGGCAAGGAGAGGGACACGCGTGCGTGGCAGTGTTTGTGAGCAGGCCCTTGGACAGCAGCTACAGAAGTGGCCACCGCCCCTGAAACCAGGCGGAAGGCTTTGGAGGAATCCAGACCTGGCCGAGAATTCCCGATCCCTCGGTCGCTAGTTCTGCGTCTTTAGGCCAGTGATTTACTGTCTAGAAAATGAGAAGGAACCCAACCTCTCTCCCAGGGTCACTGACGGCTCTGGGTCCCCTCCCAGATGTCTCTTCCTTTCTAGACCAGCTCCTAAGGCACCCTTGCCTCTGCCGGGGAGTCCAGAGGTGCAGAATCCTTTCTCTAGGAGAATCTCGGAGGTGCCAGCCATGTTTCCACTCCAGTCCTGCTAGACCCCGTGCCTCAGTTTCCTCCCAGGTAGAGAGGGATTGAGCCGGGCTGCCCTAGTCCAAAGGTGACCTCTGGGAACATCTAGCAAAATAGAAATACTATAAAGTGTTTGTCTCCTGGCCCTGTGGCTTAGGTGGCCTCTGAGCCTGGAGGACATTTTTTGCTTTTGTTTTTCACTCCGGTGCTGCCCCAGAGTGAGGCCGGCAAGATAACCATCATGATGGTGCTTTGGAAAGTCACCCTGCCAGAGGAATAAGGGTTTACTCATGGGGCTGTGGGGCACAGAAAGCTGCCCAGTCCCCTTTCTCCCAACGCCCAGAAGCCCCCAGGGACCAGTCTTTCTGACCACCCAACCTCGCTCCATCTCTGTGAGCTGGTGCTGCAGCCCCTGGCCCGGCTGTTCCTGCTTTGGTGGAGAAAACAGAAAGCGAAAGTGGCCCCATGGAGGAGGCAGCCCTGGGGAGCACGCGGCGTGCTGGCTGCCTGCAGAGGGACCCCGGTAAGGAAGGGCGGCCTCTCACCCGCCAGGCCTCCTGCCCTGAGCTGCCCTGTGCCTGGGGCTCCTTCCTGCCACAGCCCTGGGCAGAGCCGGCTGACCAGGGAGCGAGAGGGTGACCTGAGGCCACTGTTCCCCAGTCTTCTGTCCTGACTCAACCTCCCGTGTGGGCGAGCGGAGGGGAGGGATGGCCTGGCAGCTAGGGGTTGTCCCCGTGGGCTGGGTCAGAAGCCGGAGTGGCTGGCTCCCAGGTCAAGATGCTCCCTCAGCCAAGGCTTCCCTCTGCGGGCTCTCAGCGGGGCTTCCCAAGGGCGTCACTGGGAGGCCCAAGGTAGGGGTGTGGGCGGAGAAAAGTGAAAGGAACAAGACAATAGCATCATCAACCTCAAGTGCTAACCACGGGCCAGGCCCCATGCCAGGTGCCTCAGCCACTTGGTAGAACTCCGGGTGCCTCAGAATCACAGCCTGTGAAAAATACCCATGTCACTGGCCCGTCCCTATCCATCCATTTATTCAACAAATATTTTCTGAGTGCCCTCTGTGCACCAGGCACTGTTCTACACACAGGGGACGCAGCCACGGAAACAGATCTAAAAACATCCCAGTCCTCGTGGGGCTTGTATTCTAGAGGAGGAAAAGCAGTCAACAACCCAAAGAAATGAGTGAAATAGTTTGTAAAATGGTGATTTGTGCTATGGGGAAAAATAAAGAAGGCAAGGAGAATGGGGGTGCTGGGGTGGGGATGGGTTTGTAATTTTAAGTAGAGAGGGTGGGGAAAGCCTTGCTAAGAAGGTGGCATGGATTCTGATTAGTAAATGTCTTTAATCCGCACCAAATCAGCGATGCAGGTACAATTCTTATCATTCCTGTGAAGGACAAGGAAGTCAAGCTCCAAGGACAAGTCCAAGGTCAGACGGCTGGGAGTGCAAGAACTGAAACTTGAGCTCAGGCTCTGTCTGTGCTTGTCACCACCACACGATCTCGAGCAGGGAGAGAAAGAGACGGTAGACTGGAAGGGGAAAAGGAAATAAGGGCGTACGGGGGCCTCACAATGGTGGCCATCTGTTTTCCAAACTGAAAATCAGGACACAATCTGAAAAGATTTTCCTGTTGCTCGTAATGAGAGTGGCTGTCTGGGAGAAGCGGGTTGGACGCTGGCCTGAAGGGTGGGATTTCTGAGACATTCCAGTGGCTTGTGGGGCCCATGAGGCAGTCCAGGGGTAGGGCATTACCATGGCAACGCCAGCTTGGCCTCAGGGCCAAGAGCCTGGTGCAGGGCCACATGGCAGAGAAGCTGTGCTGGACATGGACCCGAGACTCTGCGGGCCAAGGAGGCAGAGGAGACGGTGGAAAGGCAGAGGGGTGTGGCCTGCAGCCCTTGTTCTGGGCCAACTGGGAGGGTGGGCTGGCGGGTCCCAGGAAGCCCCCTGGCAGGAGTCTGAGAGGCGTGTGGGGGTGAGCACCCAGGCTTTCCTGTTAGACAAGTCTGGGTTTGAATCCTCCTGCTCTCTGGCCCTGGGCAAGTCATACGACTGTGAGGAGCTCATTTCTCCACGTGTGGAATGGGGATAACTCATCTCATAGGACAGTAGCAAAGATGGTCACATACTGACATAACGCATGAATTGGGCTCGGCAGACTGCAGACTCAGTACATCATGACTGCTGTTTCCCTCCACCCAGTAGGGCCTTGGGGGCGTGCCAGGGTGGTGAGCCGGGTGGAATGGGAAGAAGTGGGAAGCCTGGGAAACGGATGACCCAGTCAGCCAGGGCAGTTGCAGGTTCCCAGCCAAGCCCTGCACGTGGGCTGGGGCTTGGTCAGCAACAATAGAACAATACCTTCCCAGACAGCCCAGCCCATGGCGCGAGCCCTTCCCGCGGCTCCCACTGCTCTGCAGCAGCCGGGCCTTTCCACTCACGCACCCCTGCCCTGGCATCCTGGGGGCTCCGGGGCCCACAGCACCCTCTGCTTAGGTGGGCAGCAAGGTGCCCCCAAGGTGGAACAGAGGTACTCCTATTGCTACCGTCGGGAGACACAGGTCTTTCTGCCCAGCTGCCTGAGCCTTTGAGTCAACTCATCGCTGCCCCCATTGTTGCTTCTGGAAGATTGAACTTAAAGAACGGAAAGAACCAGAAGGAAATTCAAAGGTTTTTGCATCTCCTCCTCCCCTCCTTTCATGGGCTGAGCTGCACCCCACTGGCCATGGCCATGGCAGAGTCAAGGAC